TGAGTTTCCGCAGTTTGAAACCCTCAGACCTCCTGTCCAAGGGCTTTAACCGACCCTTCAGCCAAATCCTTCGACTGTCTTAAAAAGGTAATTGGACTTCTTCGCAGCACAGTTCCTAAATAATGTACGATCGCTTCCGTGCAGTACATTCTTTCAGATGCATACCGTCTGCTTTTTACCGCATAATCCTCCGGCATTACATTACCTCTTGGAGGGTCGTTTTCATGGGCCAACTTTAGGCCTGGTTTCCATGGACAAAAACAGAGCTTTCTATAAACAAAGAAAAAATTCAGCTTTTTGTTCGCCTTGTCATGAAATCCCTTCTTCTTTGGAGCTGACACCCGCTGACATGGCAGCTGGCGCCATTGAGCAACCCAGCATAGCCTGATCACGAGCTCAATATTATTAGACCAAATCTAAAGAAAACAACCATTGCACAAAGGAAAAGCCTTGATGAAGGCAGATAGAAGCCATTGTAAAAGCAAAATAATCGTAATCGCTCAGTCGCTCTCCGCGAAAATTGTCCGCAGCGCCCGCTAAGGTTTCTCAGAAGTAGTCGTTGAAAATGGCTCGTTGCTGTTGTTATCTTTTAACTTGTTTGTATATCGGCTCAGCAAATGCCTGCTCCGGCGTTTGCTGCCTGTCTACCCGCAAACACGGATAGGCCGAAAAAGAAAGGGATTAATTCACATACAATTGAGTACAGTAAGCGTTTCTCCTAACTTTTTTTTTTGCTTCGGTAAATGCATTTTTATTACTGCATTGTCAAAATGCTTTTAATATGGAAATACTTGCATCAATTAGTGGTTTGTTGCAACATCCCGATGCGCAATAAAAATAAAATAGATTGTCTTTTTTTCTATCTAATTTACACTTGAAGGATACGGTACATTAATTACTAGGTATTTGCACATTTAGCTTCATTGAATAGAGTAACTGTTTGCCGACAATAGTACATCAATAATGCATCCATTTCTCTTTCCGGTCCATAAATGTAGTATTCTCTCTCAACTTAGCAGCTGATAATTGTGCTTGGAGCCTGCTGGACTTCACAAAATGAAGGACCACCTCAGGATACACCTATTTATTAGCGTACCGTACAAATAACACAGTAATAATGGTCACATTCTCAAACGGACTAGGGCTCATTCATATTGTCGCAGTCAACATCTATTGGCAATGTTGAAGGCATCTCAGAAACTGCACGCCTTCTGTTACTTGTTATTTCGTTGCGTTATTTGTCAAATGAGGAGGAATATATTATATCGGTACACCAAGTTAGGTGCCCATATTTTTTCGCTTAATCAATATACTATTATTTTTTGCTATCATTATCTACGCTGTACCCTGACGCTTTCGCCTACAACAGCATAGTAATTATTGCCTCTCATTCTTTTAAGCTTGCTTGCGTCGAGGAGATATCGGTTATCTTAGGGGCAAACATTAAGGGGTGTCAGCTACAGACTGATAGTTTCGTCCTTTGATGAGGCTGACAGTTAACAGGCATCAACAAACGACTGAACGACACTTGTCTCCCAGCTTTCGAGCTCTTCAAGGGTTCCACCCACCAGGGTTCGTTTCATCTCGCGTATCCAACAAGCCCCACTATAACTGCTGACGACTAGCTGAAGCGATCGGTGCTTCGGGCTGGCTATCTCCGACATTGAGATGTGTCCTATCGACCACTAGCGAATCAATTATGCGCTTATATGCTACTGCTCGTCCTCGTGGCATTCCCTGCCTTCGTCACTTAGTTTATTTCCACCTAAGGCGGTATCGCTGCTAGACCATGGCTCACCATGTCATAGCCACGTTTTTTCAACGTGAAGAAAAGCTATTGAAGGCCTGTGCGCTCACTCGCGCAGGGTAGGACCGATGTAATCTAATAATGCGTTCATGCACGAAGATGCATTTGAAAATATGAATGTTGATTGATTTATTAGTATATTCCGTGGGGAAAAAGCTGGCTCAGAAGAGCATTTTTGTGCAAGATATTTGCGAATTTTTCAAAAGTGCTTGCTACTTTTTTATTGAGTGGTGCATATACAACTACAGACCATTCTCGTCCTGTGAAATCTTTTTTCATGAATATGAAGCAACTTTGCGTGTTTTTTGACATAAGTTCATTTTAAGGACTGAACGACAATCATAAAATATCAGAACCTTTAACTCTTGATATCAGACCTATACAAACTATACTTGTCAGGAATCAAGTATCTTGTTTATAGCTTTTCATTATATGTCAAAATGTTTCCACATTGTCGGAGAGAAAAGTAGGACAGATGGCCGTACTACTTCTAAACCATCAATACGAAAAAAAAAAATTATAGATGATAGAGAAATCTAAAATTCGTCAAGATCTAAAATTAGAACGTTTAGTAGCTATTGAAAGTTCATAATTCAATATACGTCTACTACGAACGCAATAAAAACAAATTTCTATTATATGACATAAAGCGAACAAGTATTTACAGATAGGCATCCTTAGAAAGTTGTTAATGAAGTGCTTATAAAGTAACGAAAGTATAAAAATTAAATTTTTAAATTAAACAAGTAAGTAGGAAGGAACAAAGGGCAATGTTTGTAGAAGCCACACTCAATTGCTCTACATTCTAAATGTGTGTCTCTCTGTGTCAAAAAAATAATACGATGCGAATGTATCCCTGTATTAATTTGTGTGAAGTGCAAGAAAAAAACGTTTTCCCTGGAAACTTTCTGTGACGTTTTGATGAAGATCGTCACAAACACGGAATATTCGGACCCTTTTTTGTCTTCTTTTGCTTATAGCCTTTTTGGACTCCTTTAAGCGTATAGCCTACCCTTAATGGAGTCGTCTTTTTCATAATCTAACAAATAACGATTGAACTTATTTTTAATGTATTCTAGGAACCTTTAGATCAATTCCTTCAAACCGACTATTGCGTATTCTTGTGCAAGAGCACTATTCTACCCTAAACTTTAGTCTCAACTTCAAAGTGTCACGTTATAGCAACTGTGTGTGAACGTTCACATTTTCCCCTAATACCTTATGAAAATTTAAATTAAACAATTGCCGGTTCAAGCGAGTAACACAGCAATATTCTGTTGACCATTCTACCAAACCATGACGTAAGTAAGTGCAATGAATTCAGGAGCCAGCTCTCATATAACCACATGGAATACAGCAGGAAATCATGGCAACCACGCTCAAAAAACCACAACTAAATAACATCTAGAATATTTACCATCGACCTTCCATTACACCTGCGTAGACTGTACGGTTGTAATTTTAACTTCCCTATGTCGACTCTTACAGTTAGTTATTTGGGTCGAAACACGATGAGGTAGCGATAGGCTGAGAGAGTACTATAATAAGAAATAACCGCATTCTGGAATTATCCGTTTAAAAATGATCTTTAGGTTTATTTGTTTGTTTTTTTCTTATTTCTCTCTTTATTTTTACTGCAGCATGTTGGTTTATGTCCTTAAAAGTTCCACTATATACATTTCTAACAAGAGTGTTAATATATCGACAACGATTTATTATAATATAATAATCGAATAGCATGGTGGGATGTGTACTCAAGTCCACAGCCGCCAATGCTACGACTAATCGCTTCCTCCGGATCCTGATGCACTTCGGATTTAAAATATCTCTAGCCAAATCCGAAACTTGAAACAGTCTAGTTATCATGGAAATGCTAGAGGTAAGCAGCACGTGCGGACAGTAATCAAAAGTAGCTTTAAACTTTTTTTGTTAGAAAAGCAGCATCCTTAGGTTTCTAAACGACAGAATGGATCTATGCAAAAATTACGTCTCAATCAATATGAGAAAGTAGAGGAGCTTCACGTATAGAGCCTTAGGTAGCCGATGCAAGGCTCGTAGTAGTTCCACTATTTAAAGTGTTCATCAAGGACGAAATGCATCGATTCTAAGTATCTTAATTCATAGGTAATGACCTGTATTTTTTTAATGTTCCATTTTTTGCTCCTACGATAGCTGTTTTAAGATCCATATACCTCAGCATACAGAGCTAAATTAGAAGGAACTTATAATGTAGCTCTGTATGCTGAGAAAAATTCATTTCGGGTTCAGGCTACGAGAATCTTGGATTCCAAACAACCTTTTGTTAAAAAAAACACCTATAGGTCAATGAACATGTGCAGAAACCATTTAGTAGTGGAGTTGCGCCTAAGTGTGCATACGACAAACTCATCAACAACTCCTACTGGGTTTTCAATGGTGCGGCTTAAGCTACCGGCGGATCTTTGCCTTATAATATGGTACATGAATTATATTATGATTGAGGTTGAAAGAAAATTTAGTGAGTACCTATTCGTTGCGTGTGCATATGTTGATTTTTGAGGAACGCCATCCAAAATGCCGTTCTGGTGAGTACAGTGAGGGAACGGAGCAACCTATGAGCTTCTCATGCAGGTGTTCATGCGAACAACTTGAATGACGCCTTTCGTCCAGATGTCACCGAAAGGGACTTCTCTACAGAAGTCTATTTCATTCGAAGTGCCGTCGTTTCTGTATTTCCAGGGTGTTCGATACAATATGTATCAGAGAAGATTGCCGACTGCTAATCATATATCATTTAACGATCAGTTTGTTCAGAACTGGGCTATTCGTTCAGCCCATATCTCAATTACATCTTAAGATAAATCACAATGTGCACTTTAGACTGCTTAGATTTCGTGATAAGGCACATTACATGAATATTTATTATCGGGCTTATCGTAACGACCATAGAGAGCCCGCAGTCTGAGCCAGAACAATTTGTTCTCGTGAAATATGGCTCTTAAATTCGCGAGACGTAACTTCAATGAATATAAACTCACTTTAACAATGTACTAGCACAAACGTGTTAGATTAGTGTTTCGGTTTATCATTTGAGTTTCTCTTTTCTTAGGAAAGTTCAAGTTACGCTGGAAGAGTGAAATCGTTGGTAGATAGTTGAACTGTTTAACATCGTAATGTTAGCTTAAGCCCTTTGTTTTGGCCATGGTTCATCTAGGTAAAATTACTTTTCGGAATAAGAGTCAACGTAGTTGCAGAGCCGGCGCCGAAATACCCTTGAAAGCGGTGATACATAGATCATTCCTCATCATAGCGAACGCAATCATTTTTCTGGAAGATAATTCAACTAGATCAAAGTAAGTGTGTCTTTCAATAATTGCGTCTATGAACGGTCATGATTTTATCATATTGTTATTTGATGCTATCGTATGATCTTTTATAGAAACCACGACAATTCATTTCATCCTTGTCTTGTATTTCGGCCCGTATGCGAACACTGCATTGCGCGCCACATTGACAACACTAGATAAGAACTCATCGATTTTATTTCTGAATATTATATATAAATTTATTCATTGTTATTTGTCGATCTTAGTCAAAAGTCGAAAAGTCATTTCTATGATGTTCCCATTAATCCAGAGTACTCAGACTTTGTCAGGTAATAATAATTCTTAATTAGAAAGCTTACTTGGGCGTCAGTGTCCAATAGTACATGAGACTGATGCGAGTTTTACTAGCGGGGTCTATCATTGATAACTAATTATGAGCATAATAATTCTTTTGAGAGACGAAACTTCCACCAGAAACTAGATATTGCCTCGAGCTGATGTTAACTGTTTACATTAGGAATACATGAATACCAGTAACAAGAAATTACACAATAAAAGAAAGACCATCAGGTCAGGAACAAGTGCCAAATTACGCCGAAAAAAGCAATTAGATGTGTTCACATAAGTCTGTTTTCTCTACAAACTTTAAAACTTTATTTAAACATAACACCCATAAGGTGGGCTCCCACGGCTCTCTTCATAGCAGTTATTTGCTTAACTCTGTTCTTCGCCATTTTTTTTATACATACATTTGGCTCTGCCTTTGAAATGGCGGCACGGATATATTTCTCAAGTTTTTTTTACCACCTATAAATTGTCATCACACGCGTTGCTTTTTAAGTACCCTCATAAAAGGAAATCGAGTGTAGTTATATCACAAGATCTGCGGGGCCAATCAGCGTCACCCCATCTGAAAATCAGCCGCTCACTGAAGTAAACCTTTAACAGCGCAATAACGTTATCAGTGCGGATGAGTAGATAATCCTGCTAAAAGCACGTGTTTCGCAAACCTTTTCCAACGTATTGGAGTACAAGAAAACTTGAGATTATCTCCTGGTAGCGAACAGAGTTCAATTTCATCGCAAAAAGAGGCCAATTACGTCTCCCCCTCACATGCTGGACACGCATATTTTTAGAGTCTTGATTTCTTTCATCTTTAGCCCGGGGTTCTCGATCTACGACAATAACTAAGAAAAATGTCTGTCTCGCCATTTCAGAGATAGGACCAGACGTATGCAAAAGTAGCCAAAATATGGATTAAGCGAATAAGCATCATGAATAAAGTCTAGGAAACCTACTGATATTGTATTTACGTATAATCGCAAAGGAATAAAGTTTGTAATAAAGAATAATTTTTGCAATTATATTCAGCTGTTTTTTGTTATGGTCATTTTGAAGCTGTTTTCAACCAGATGGGTGCCCCTGTAGCAGGAAGTAGTTGTACCGTCCAATCTCATTATCGGTTGTATTTCTAAGTTGGAGTTTGACTTGCGCAGAAAACAGCTAGACACAAAATAATAAAGTTTTTTATGGAAATAAATTACATCTAACTTCAATAATTAATTTTGGAAAATATAACTTGAATAAATACCTTTGAAAAAACTTAGATCTTACGTTGGTTATCATTTGATATTAGAAATCTAGGAATATTTTTGAAGGGAATGAAAACGTCAATTTCTGGAAATTAATTGAAGTGTTTTTAACATTAAAAGTTAAGTCGTTACTATCGTTTGATATATATCGGATATTGCTGCAAGCATTATACAAATACGTATATGAAACTGATCCTGAGTTCAGAGATCCTCCTAAAAAAATACGTAAAATATTTTTATAAAAGCATTAGGCTTTAAAGATATGAGCTAGACCCTTTTTGCAAATGACATTTTTATTCTTAGTTTACATGATTGGACAGCTTTTCTTTCAGGAAACGGTTATTCAGTTTGTTACAAGGTATTAAACGACAGGCAGTCGTCAATATATCAAAATTCAAATTAATAATTTAAAAATGTTATTTTTACATTACGTAAACATTAGTTTTAGTGCATCGAATATCCGTCAATCCATGCGACACTAAACTAGGTGGGATTGATAGTTATCTCAAAATTTTATAAGACTAATGCTTAAAAAAGACCGACGGTTTTGTTTAAAATATATGTTCTCAGAATATGACATCAACACTTTGCGCAGATAAAAGTAAAGAATTATATAATCCTAATAATATAATCTTCCACTTTTAAGCTAATGCGAGAACCGTACCAGAACCGAATAACTATCCTTACCTGCAATAATTTCATACGATCTCGCAGTTACCACACAAAGATTGCTAATTAAAAAAAGATCCGTCCTTGCACTTGTTGACTTGCGCTCGTTCGTTGTTCAGCCTTACCGATCCCTCTTTCATCAGAGTTGCTTTTAAACTCCAGACAAATTCACTTTCAGCGATTTCGCTGCAGCATGTAATTGATTAGATGACAGCCTTGCTCACACTTAAAAAACAAGTGAAATCTCACTAGAGATCTGCGTTAGATTGTCGCTAGTTAATCCAAGAAAAGAGAGCAGGCTTAGGGTATTCGAATTTGTGATTTTTATTAAGGTGAGCCAATTTAACTGAAGCAAATATCTTTTCTCCTACATAGAGTATAAAGACTTGGTAAGACTACTCCAGTCTATCGAAATACGGTCCCGTAGGTCTCTAGTCAGGCGTTCGTACGCGCGGGCCTACCAGCTGTGCTACTGAGTGGTTCAAAATGGCCCATACGTATCCTATCTCCACAAGATGGGCACTCGAACTCATAATTCTTACAATTGTTTATATCATTCGCTCGGCTTGGCGAGAAAAGACGATGGTAAAAACAACATGTCTGTGAAAAATCGGTTTGCTAATAAACAGTACAAAAAAAAATTATCAGTATACTACAATTCAAACTGGCACGTTTTATCTAATATATAGCGGCGACCCCCTACGGATGTAGAGCAGCGCCCCCTGGCGAACCTATGACTAGCCTATGAAGGTTTCTCGTATAGTCCTCATGGCGTTTGAATAATGCGTTTGACCACCGAAAATAAGGACAGTGATCTAGGTTTCGACCATGGCGTATGGATCCTTCGATTTGTGCTGGGGTGCCATCCATGTAAAGCAATTTTTAATGTTAACTGCGGACGTAAACTCGAGGCATTCATTTGTTCTTTCCCTCCAATTCACATAGCGTCACCTTGGTACTACAGTGCAACCATCTATTGGGTCCGTAGCATCAGGATATTCAGAGATATTATGCAAAAAAAACAAGAAACGAGGGCTGTACAAATAATTTGTATGTATTAATACCGTACAACCCAAAGTCAGCTGAATGCATATGCGAAGGCAATCTTCTAGCATTATATTGTATATAGTAACTATAACTTGCATGTGTGAGTGAATTCTGCCTAGGTAGAATGACTGAACGTTTCGAGAAAAAGAATTACTAAAATAATTACCTGCTGAGATAGAGTAATGAGGAAACTGTTACGGGACAACAGGAAAAACTATAATGAGGTAGCTGGAGTTGTGCAATGGGTGCCAAAACGGCTGATCGCGTGGAATAGGGTTAAAGCCCATTTCTGGTTTTATTGAAAAAATAATGCCATAATACTGAGAAACTAGTCGAATGGGGACAATTACTCAACCCAAATATTGATTTATTATTTTTATTGCTTATTAATTTAAATTATCAGGTTCGTCGGTGGTATACGCGCCTATATGCGTGATATATAGCCTGACATGATCTAGGTCGAGCGCACGTTAACAGGTATCCCGTCGCAATTCCCTACCTTATCTAGATGATATTATTTTGCTGTCATATATAATATAGACAAATTTCATCTGCGTTACATGTAGCCTAACAGAATGACTAAATTAATTAAACTGTAAGTTTAGTGTAAACTTATACCATTATAGTTATTCAGTTGTAATTCTCCTAAAATTTTTCAGAACTAGTTCCGTTACCACAATACAACTTTCTCGGAATAAAATTCCTATTTCCTTGATTCACCCCTCTATGTTTCGAATTTTACCTCCGATATCGCCATTAAGCACTCCATCAGATGGCTGGCGCGCAGCATAAAACGAACTCTGTCCATGTTCGAGTTCGAACCCTGACCACGAGGTGTCCCTAAGCTTAATAGGCAAAATTATTCAGTTAATTCACCTTGCTTCTACTTGCCTGCGTGACCCGGTTATTTCTTCTGTCCCAATTATCACATTGTAACTCTGCTATTCTTCCATAACCACACCGCATGAATCCTCTTACCTATAGAAATAACTGATCTCGATTTCTAAATAGCTATTATACCTTTATACAAGTTTTACTCTATCTGTATATAAGAAACGTGCACACTGCGTGACCCTCAGCCTTATCTAATTTTGAACGTTTAATCTATTACAGTCAGCTAGGTTCCGCTTAGGTTTACAACATGCCTTATTAACCCCTCAACAAAAAGTACAGGTACATCTTTGAGTTGCGCAAAAAAGGTGGTATCCGAAAATCTTCTGTCAAAATCCGATCCTTTATTTTTCTTGTGACGCTTGCTATTTTGAGAACAGGAGAAATTAGAAATAAACCCAGTTAGAATCATTTCAAAGTAAACAACAATTATTTGAACAACTGAGGCCCGTACAGTGGGTTCAGAACCAAATTATCGATACTTTTTTTTTAGCATAATAATATTTTTATTCCGATAAATTGCTTGTTTAGTAATGATACTGGTGTGTCTTTCTTATTTTTCCCATTTCAGTTCATCCGTTTCTCAGCTTCCAGGTTGACATTTGTATGTTTACTGTGTAGAACTTAAAAACAGTTTTCTAGCAAAACCTCCTCGACGGCTGTTGAACAAGTCGTCGTCTGTAAAGGTTGAGTTAGCGTTCCGCGTTATGGCAGACAGAAACTTCCCCCCGGAGAAAGCATGCCTCCAACTGAGCAATATCAATCACATGCGGTCAGAGGCGGTCCATAATTTATTAAACATTCTGTAAATTAAATTAGTATCAAGAAAAAGAAATTTTTTATCAAAACAGACATTAATAAAATTAAAGAATATGGACTGAGATTTAATCAATTCCCAATCATTTCTACAAAAATCGAGTAAATATTGAACCTATTTTAGCTTAAAAAGCAAACAGCTTCCCAATAGGAATCTTCCTGAAATTTGCTGGCCTAACCGTGTTTACATTACCATAAGGAAGCGATAAATGTACGGAGTGGATTAGGATTATACAGACAGATAAACAAGCACAGAATACCTGTGCTTGTTATACAGATAAATATAAACTAAGTACTCTTGCCTAAAAACACGAACGCGCGATCAACGGCAAAAGCAACATCTGAAGTAAACTGGATTGTATGAGTACGGAACCTCTTTGATTTAATTTCCACAGAGATGGATCCCGCATATTCAAAGCACCCTTTTATACGATTGTTGATTATGATAAATTCTGCCCGAACAAAGCTGCCTTAAATTGTAAACCTCCACTTGGAAATAACACGAACAAAAGGTTTAGGAAACTGCGAGCGTATATTAATAGGTTTAGAAAGCGGAGTATCAATCTGATCAACCAAAACGCAAGACAGTTTATGGCAAACGTCTGTTTGAAAAAAGTCGTAATTCGAAATTTCGCCTGTAGTCCTTCCGCGATACGAGAAATGCACAAACAGCCTAGCGGGTCGAAGATGTGTCAGTCATATTTTTAAAATGTCCTATTTGAAATATTTCTCTTTCCAAACAGCCGCCACTCGTCAAAACGTTGCTATGTCCAACGTCGCTAGCACTAACTCATCGATTACACAGTTGTTAATTTAGATTTAATAAGTTATTGAAAGTGATTCAAAGAATCGAATAGTATTAGGCTGAGAAAGGTATTGAATCATTATTTATACAACTTTACGGTACCAATACGTTACGGAAATTTTAAATAACAGTTGACTGTACTTTTCTCTTATAGCATAGTAAAACAAATTTCCTTATATAAAATTACGACTGTTAAACACTTTAGTAGTACGCTGACACATCCTTTCACCCTGATGAGGTGCATTTTAGGTTTGCGCACAATGAAGGTAATGTACGTAGTTACCACTTAAAGTGAAGAAGCCTATGTCGTCCGAAAGGGAACATTTTATAATAATAATAATAGGCCGTACTTCTATAGCGAGCATAATCAACTAGATACTATCGGGCATATAGCATCAACGGTAAAATGTGGCAACGATATAGGCTAATCAGTGTGACGCAACGGTAACAACCGGGTCCTTATAAAGACCATAC